AAGGTAATCCGTCCTGGCGTCTACGAACTCATCAACATGAACGGCAAAGCGGTACCTAGATCCTGGAACGCGATGCATCTAAGGAAATACTACCGCTAAAAACCTAAGGTACGCATGTACTCGAACTACGGGGTGGCTTGATCCCTGCAAAGGGTACGTAGGCAGCTCGTCCTCGGACGAGTTCAGCTACCCCCCTAATTAAAAAGGGGGGAGTGGGTCCGTATACTTATATACTCCCACTAAATTTTTCAAATTCCCTAAGTCTTTACCCTTCGGGTTATTAACCTTACCCACCTCGAAGATTTGATCGGTCATCTTATCGACCTATAAAGCTAAAAGTTCGCTCGGACAATGGCCACGTCCTCGGATAGAAAAAGCTCTTTGCACCGCCTCGGTTACAGTGCGCTATATAAACAGTCGAGACGATTCGGTCGGAGATATCCTGCCATAAAGAAATTGTCTTCAGAAAACCCAGTTGACTTCGACACTGGTACCCCAGTCCGCTTCTAAGCACTGGCTTCGACTATATCGGCTCGGGTCGCAACCGATAAAGATTAGTCCTACTTAACCAAAACCCAGTTATCCTAACGATGGTACACGATTCATTTCATTTTCGGTTCGAAAGATAAGGCGTTCGGATTTAACTTCTCAACGAGCAATTCTTAAACCCGGTTAACTTAACACCGGTGCATGATTCTTTTTGCTCTCGGCTCGAAGGATAAAACCAAATACTTGACATTAGTTTGAATCCAGTTCGGAAAAATGTTTAAGAAAAAATACTTGGACATAATATTCAAGGGATAAAGCCATCCAGGCAAGTCTTACAAAAAAAAAGAGAAAACAAAAAAGACATCTCGGGATCAGATCGAATCTTGGTTAACCGGCGAAACTTGAGCTACCTCGGTACCTCGGTTCGAACCGGACTGGTCGGCAACACCCAGCGCCACTGCGGTACCTTCGATCGAACGGTTTCCGAAGCTGTCATCGACAGAATCCGGGGAAACCGGAGGAAGCTTCAAGTCCTCTCGCAGCTCGGTCCCAAGACGGACGTACTCGTCCTCGGCGCTCCCATATTCAGCAGTCCACTGAAGGACCTCGGCCTTCTCGTCTTCAACCCTCTTTCCTTCCTCCAGCTCGGCTATCAGCTCGGCATTGGCCCGCGCTTGCACCAAGTACATATAGCGCGTGGACACCTCCCCTAACTGGTCCATCTTCGCCTCGATAGCATTGACCTTCTCGGCGAACTCCCTTTTTGCTGCCTTCCTTTCTCTGACAATCTCCTTCTCCCGGAGAGCCTTCTCCTCGTTGAATAACCGACGGAGTCGTTCGACCTCGGCCTCAAGCTCTCTCTGAGTCCGCAAGCTATCCTCAGATGCTTTCAATCGCTCCACCTTCTCGGCCTTGGCCAACGCCTCAGCCTCCTGTTTAGCCGCGATCGCCTCGGACAATTCAGCTTCGATCCTAGCTCGTGACGCCTCCGATCTCTCACGGGCCAGCTCGGACTTCCGAGCTCCAGAATCATAGGCCCAAACCATGGAATTCATCGAATGGAAGGCCTGAAATAGAACGAGAATTATTAGCAAGTATTACATGGAAACGATAGTAAAACAGGTCAAGAACAGATCGGTAATACCTTCAAGAACCCGGCAGCGGTTTCACAGTAGTTTTGAGCCTCCAACAAGGCATCAGGAGCAGACAGTGGCGGCCCGGAGCAAGAAGCGACAAAGTTCGCCGAAGCAATCTTATCCTTGTACACTGGAGTTTCGCTACGACTCCTTTTCTCCTTCCTTGAGACTCCCGAGCCATCGCCTCGGGGTCTTTTTCCCCTAGTTTTGGATTTCGCCTCGGCGACTGGAGCAGCAACGACCAGAGTCCCTACCGCCTCGGGGACGTCGGTCGTAGGGGAGATGTGTCCGACCACCTTGGGAACAATCGGAACCATGTCCCGAGGTACATCAGTTGCCTCGGCATCCATGACGACCTCAAGGTTGGCCTCGGGAGGAGTAGGAGGTCTGAAGTTCGCCTCCAAAACGGCTTTTTCCTTAGCCGCCTTCTTTTCAGCGGCCTTCCTGGCTCTCAGAGATTGCGCGGCTCCTTGCATTTCGATGAGGTGATCTAAACGATGGTCGGATGATTCTGAAGAAGACTGGCAGGGAGCTCCGTGCAACAAACGCAAGGCTCTCTCAATCCTTTCCTGGGAAAAGTGCTTCGTCCAATCACACTTCCGAGCTATTAGTTCGTCGTGGAGGTCTAGAAAGCCTTCGGGAATGTCTTCGAGAAACGACGGGTTCCGATCTGCATGAACAAGAGAAACGGTTAGTAAAGAGAATATAAAGAACAAGACAGCAAATACAGCTTCGGGCGTAGTACCGATTTGTCTCCACTTTCC